ATCAAAAACTAGTACGACCACGTTTAAATTCAGCTTTCCAATATTTTATTGTTGTTAACGATGGTGCAATGTTTTTGTAAACAGAATCCATTTTCAATTTGATTACATCATTGTTCACTTTTTTCAAATGGAGGGAATTTTATCACTGAACGATATTCAGTTATTATATAAAATCACCAAGGTGCATTATTTCAATTATTTGCAAAAAGCTAACCAAGCATCTGATGAAGTCGAAACTTTTACAGAAAACAAAATCTCGGAAGTTACTACAAAAAACTTTTCGATATCTAACTATAAACCCCTAAGTAAAATTTTAGCGACAGGTCTTATATGGTCTATTAATCTTAAATTTTTATTTAAATTAAATGAAATAGAATTATATCTTCTCTATCTCAGGATAGAAAGGGTTTTATCATCCAAGAATTATTAACTAACCGATGTAAAATCGATGTCATGTTACATCGATGTGTTTCTCAGAATTTTTTTAAACCGTCTCAATTGCATATGTGATATATCTAAAACAAAACAAAAATAAATAATAGGAAGAAGTTACTACATCTACTTCCAAAAACGTAATTATGCGTAGTAGTACAAGAAAAATTTGCCTCATATAGTTCTCTATTCTAATTCTCAATCAACACATTAATAGACTTTAAAAATGAAAATGAAATTCTATGAACGAAAAACTGAGAAAAAGGATGAATCTAAGAAAACTATTGATTCCTTTCTTGTTGATTTACCTATTAACCATCTTATCCTCTCCTAATGACTCCAACATCTTTGGAAACTGCATCTTGCCACCTCAATTGAATTAAACCACAAATTTTGGAACAATGAGAAAACACATTAGGAATGAAAAAGTTAGAAGAGTTAGAAAAAAAGGGTATTTCATTCAAGATAATGTTAGAATTGTTGAAAAATATGTATCTATGGTTATTGGTTGCTTACTCCATTGAGATAGTTGTCAATGTATTTTAGGTACAGACATGAATCTTCAGAAACAACGATGGGAGAGAGAGATGGGAGTGGACGAACTATTTGGATGTTTTTGTGTGTCGCGTTAAAAGAAATTTCTTAGTTAGCTTACCTACCTAGAGGTTGAGTTCATCCGTTTTAAATTAAAAATGTTTCATTTCGAGTTTATGCAATAGTTTACTCTGATCAATTTATTTAGTGAAAAATTCAATCGAAAATAATACTTTATTACCTTCAATTAATTGCGTTTCTACCTAAATTTTGACAACACATCTTCATTTATATAATAACTATTCTTCTTCATCTTCATCCTCAACGGTTGTTTTAAGTCCGCCAAATACCTTAGTTGGTATGGATTTTTGCTGGATACGCAATTTTTTCATTGCCATGCCGTTCACATCAACATTTGTGGCTTTTTCGCCAGCAATATTATCCGTTTCATTCTCATCGGCTTCTTCGTCTTCCTCTTCTCCTTCATCCTCATCTTCATCACTGTCATCAATATTTATTTCATCAGGATTAACAACCTTATCTTTAGCTGCGCCACCCTGTGTTTCACCACGCACGAACATAATATTGGACGCAGCCTGCGATTTGATTGGTAGTTTGTCTTTCTGTGCGGCTGCTGCAGCCTCCAGTTTTCGCATTGCGTCCGCTTGAGCAACTTCATTCTCCGCAGTGCTGCCGCTGTTAATAAATTGTGCCGCCATCATATTAACTTGCGTGTTATACGTGGCTTGAACGGAACGTTTAATACGCAACATTTCGCGCATTGTGTCTTCATTGCCATGCCGCACTTCAAACTCTTTCCATGTTTGCCAGAAATCAGCAGTTATGCGTGGATCACAAACCTATTCAAAAAATAATATTAAGATAGTTTTGCAGTATCTAAATTCCAATTGGCTTACCTGTGAACAGTGCGCGTAGATTGCGCGTGCACGATCGATTTCTCCCAATTTAGTCTCCATTTCAGCAAAACGCACGCAAATATACCGCATATTTTCTTCGGGCAAAGATTCAATAGCTTTCTCGTATATCTCGCGCGTTCTAGGTAGACCATAAATCTCTGCTGCTTTCTTAATGAATATGTTGTACATATCATACATTTCCTCAGGCTTAACTGCAGCGGTGGCACGATCATACACCGCCATAGCATGTCGAGCCAAGCCATGTTCCTCCTCCAACTTCGCATAAAGTAAATAGAAATATTTTGCATGCTCCGGTGGACAGTTTTCCAAACACTGCTCGAAAAGATCACGTGCGCGTTCCAGTTTAGTGCCGCCATAACGTTTTAAAAATTTTGTCAAATAAGAGTTCCAAATATCAAAGACATTTGGCCACTTGAATAGAGCAATGCCTTTTTCATAAGCGCGAAATGCTTCCTCAAAGTAATTGTGCTCCTCAAGAAAGAGTCCGAAATTTATAATGATTTGTGGAGTACAAATTTTTAAATCGATTATCCGATCGTACACGGCTTTGCAGGTTTTGAAAGTCCCAAATGATTCTTCCAAATCTGCATACATCGACCAAACTTTTAGCGATTTGTAAAGACGCATTTGTACCGTCTCTGTGTCATCGTGATATGCCACCTTACGTTTTGGCATCGCCGTTGCCTTTTGCATTAACTTCAGTGCGTTTTCAAAATTTTCTTGTCTATATGAAAAAACATTTTAAGCATTGCTTTTATTTTTTTATTTTTTGTATATTTTCAAACCTTATTTCCATTTCTGCCCATTCACACCAGACAGACGCCAATTCATCCACTTTGATGTATTCAACTTCGGTGCCTTTTTCAAAAATGACGCGCGCATCGTCAATTTGATCATTGCCCTCGTAGAACTTGGCGAATTCGACCCACAATGTATGCAGTTTACCAACGGCCAATTTTGGTTGGACAGTCTGCACAGCTTCTGTGTAAGTGTTGATGATTTCCAACGGCTTGTCTTCGTACAACTTAACACGCTTGTGCCATTCGTGAACGTTGTGTGGATTCTGGCGCAGCAACACGCTATTCAGTAACAACAAACGGCGTTCCATTAGATATTCAAAGCGTGCCAAGCGCAGTTCTACATCAATATCATCCTCCTCAGTAGAGGTTGGATCATTCGCAACAGTTTCCATACGTTTGCTTAATGAAACTTCCTCGAACTGTGCGTATTCATCGAATACTTGAGTGAAATCTCGTACTGTCTTAACTGTTTGTATGGCTTCTTCATATATATCACGGGCGCGATCGAACAAACCGGAACGTACGTAGTAATCCGCCAAAGAGTTCCATAAATGACCCAATTGATCCGTATACCTAAAAGGGGATAACAATTAAATATATAAAACATTTGTATCACTCGTTATATACCTTCTCAAGCCACCTCTAATAATAGCATCCACATTCAGTGAATGCACTTTATGCGGATTCTTAGATATAAGCTCACACAACTCATTCCAAAGTTGATGATTTGATTTACCAAATTTTGAAGCAAAATTTTCATTATCTACAATCGTAGCTAACTGCTGAGCCGCATCATCTAATTTGCCCACTTCAGATAAATATTCAATATATTCCTCAGCTTCATCTGGGCATAATTTTAAGTATCGCCTATAAACTCGCACCGCAGTTTCGGGTATGTCAAACTGACGTACAAACTTCAGATACAGTGGCCAGATACGATGATGCTGCGTTATGGGTAGCGCACGTAAGGCGCGATCAAAAACGTATCTGGTACGTGTTATTCGACATTGCAAAGTCATAAAAGTACCATAATCCATCCAAATGCGTGGCATTTTATGCATAAAAACCAACGCACGTTCAAACGTATTATTGACTTCTTCATACATAGGGTCGTTCAATGGACGTCCACGTACCTGTTTCCTCCTAGTGCGCAAGTAATTGTACCAAATTTTGTAACTGCCAGGCAATTCCTTCAATGCACGTTCATACACTATATTAACACCATTGTTGGGTGCCTTAGCTTTGTGGTCAATATAACGCAACCAATGTTTTACGGAATAAGCATTACGCAGTATCTCTTCCTCATACGGCACATCCTCTTCTGGCTGCAATGCAAACACAAATTAATGCATTTATTCTGGAAAATTAAATTAGCGTACTTACGAAATCTATATCAATATTAAGTTTCGTTTTTATAGTTGGCATTTTTATACAAATCTATGTAATATATGTATTATTTATGTATTAAAATAATTAAATATCAACCAGGAAAATTAATCAAATAATTGTGGCCGCAATTCTTCTGAACAGCTGGTTTATAATAGTTAGCGGCATGACGGTAGCACAGTTTGGTTAAACAGTTTTAAAGGCACTAACCTCATAACAACACCAAAGTAGTGCTGTAAATGATTTATTTTGCAAAACTTAATTTGTTTATAATTAAAATATTATATGAAATTTTTAGATTTAAAAATTAAAAATTCAAAAACTCACACATCAAAAGTAACAATGCATTTGTTTTTTCTGCGTTCAGTTCAGGTAATATAAAATATACATTCATCGTGTATAAATAGTACACGATGGAAATCAGTTTATGTTTAATAAGTTATGTTAAGAAAATTAAGTTAACAATATTATACGAAAAACATAGAAAAATGTTTTGTCTATGTCTATGTTTTTGGTTATAACTGCGTTAAATCGACACGAAAAAGAATTGGACTTAACTACTGAAATGGAGTCTGATACTTCACATTTTATTTATATATATATTCAGTCCTTTAACTCCTAGAAGGAGCATAGTTCCGCTATTATTTATTGCGGTTTCGTTAATCAGTTGATTTAAGATTGGCGGGTGATTGCTATAAATTCAAAACAAACAGCAACTAATGGCAGCACAGTGAACTCACAATAACTACAACAAAAATGGCGAACAAAAGCCTTTTAAAAAATTTAATTTATTTATGTGATAATAATTCAACAGATTTGTTTTGTTGTTAACAATATCCGACTATTTATTAAAATTTATGTTATAGTCAAATAGTTTAAAAAGTTCTATTAAATAAATAAAATATTCGATATTACTTAACACTCGCACAAAAATTTAAATTGAGTTCTTCATTTGCATTAACTTCTAATCTGTCAGATTATGAAGAAAATCCGGCAAAGTATTTTGATTATGATCAGACATATTAATGTGGGATTCCATTTACACTCACTAGTCCCATGCATGGAGAATGCATAATTGCAAGGCATCGCGCCCTCATCGGATTGACAAGAACAAACTTTCACATCTAAGCCTGTAAATGTTCTGATATCAACGCATTCCGTACTTTCATAAATCTCTTCTCGGATATCTCTACGATTACAGCCGTATCCTATTATTCCAACTGTAGCATAAAATAAAATAGTTAGTATGAGAAATAAATTAGATACATTGCTTATAAATATATTTTCATAATTTTTTGAAAAAACACTTTTTTTCTGTTGATAAATGTTAGGACGAGACAAGCGTTCTCAGTCGGTAGATCACAATACCCAAAGTCGGAAATAAAAAGGTAAAACAAAGAGGTGGAAAAGTGAAGACAAGAGGACAAACAAAGATTAGTTTCCCTAATAAGTCTGAAGAGATCAGGTAAGAGGAGAGCATGGACATTATGTACACATCATAATCCAACAGTCGTGGTGTGATTCTTTCAAATGCTAAAAAATAACATAAAATATACTCCAAGTATTCCGAATCTTTAAGACTGCACTGTTATATCGGTTCTGTGATAATTCAAATCGTAGCCATGTGTTGTCAACTAGTTTTGTGTCACTTGATTTCACCGATCCGTACCTTGGAGTCCTTTCTCTTTCGTTGTGAGAGAAATTTTGATAATTTCCTGTTATGTTCTTACACATAATATTACGTTCACTTTACAAGATTACATTTTGCTTCATTTCTCTTGTAAACGTAGCTCAGAAACTCATTGACCCACAATGGACTCCTAGCAAAGCCCTCATTGGCCATGTAATCAGTCAATTTATTCCCAACGGCACTGCAGTGTCCCATAGCCCATATAAAAAGTAGTTTATTATGTTCTCAACACAGTTTAATTTCATCTTATATTCAGTGATCATCTCTGAAAAGATGGCAGGATTAACAAGAACCTTTAGTGCAGCTTGACTGTTGCAAAAAACGCCATTGTGTTATATACAATTTTTTCTATATAATTAGCAAATCAGATTATTTTATCAAGAAGAAGGTCGTTATTCTTCCGATAGGAAAAAGAAAAGAATTTTCATAGATTTTATCGTCCAAGTATCCACCACTATTTCCACTATATCCACTATTTTACTTCCATTCTTCTATAAATTATTAAGTAATTTATAAGAAATTTATCAAAAAGACATATTAAATAATTCAGATTTGGATATGCTAACAATATAATATCAGCCTAATATCTGTCGTATACAAGGCTCAGATATTCATAATGCAAAAAATTTAAGAAAAAACTTCCGAACATGGCATTAACACCCAACAACTTTTTACTGTATCGCGTATGCAGGACAAAGTCTCAACACAATATCCCTCCAAAGCTAACACGTCTTTGCTAAATGAGGTTAAACAATGCTTGTAGATCCGTTAAAGTAGCTTCAAATCGCAAAAGATGATTGTTTATTCTGAGATTTTTTATCTTTTCAATTTTGTCATGGTCGGAACATTTGTTCATCGAAATTGCACAATAGTTTACAAGTGTTTCCAGCTTCCTGTCTATGCTAACGACACCAACATATTGAGTGTATCAAGTGTGATATAACTGATTAATGCCAGTATATGTCGGTTACAGACAAAATGGAAGTCAGTCGAACGCTCATCTGTTTGCTGGAGTGCAGAATTCTTAATTGTGATCTTGGTACCTCCGTTTAACAGCCACGATGTTAGTTTGAAGAGATGTCTACGAACCACTACTGCAAATAGGTGCAACTATGGCCAAATAAGGTGTACTCTCTCTCTCTCGATCCACAAAACCCGCACTTCATATGTCGCTCATCATAACTTCTATATGAGGAAAAAGTATACATGTTATTACAAATTAAGAAGCATTCTAGTAAAGTAAGATCTTTGATCCTATATGAGTTGGTGATGTCTACCGCATATACTTGAACCAAAAGCTGAACAAGATTTATTACTACATTGATATTGTTCACTGAATTAATATATGGTTCGGATATGTCTTAAGTATAGTAGGTAATAATCTATTAAAAAATATTTTTTAAGTGGCAGTCAGAGAAGTAATTAAGCTGAATGAACACTAATCGAACTTAATTAGCAAGACTGTGGTTGGCGTGTACACATCAGATATAGCAGATTACCATTTTTTTATTTGGAAACCTTAGTAAATAACTAAAAATAAATAATTTTAATGAAATTAATTTAAATTTACCTTTCTTATTTTCAGACAATATGCTCTTAACACAAACCATACCACGCTCCATGGGACATGTAATTTCTTTAGGATTATTTTTATAAGATTCCCACAATTTTTTTGTGTTTGGTGGTTTACCATTGTCTAAAATATATGGAATTCGAATATAAAATATATTTTTAATATGTAATCAAATTAAATTTAAATCAAACTAAGGACGTGTGCGAGTTGATAAATAACTAAATGTGTGCAGTGCAAAAAATCCCAAAAAATCTCCCATTTGGTTTAGCATCAACTTAGCCTAACTCGCACACTTCCTAAGTTGCATTCTAAATGAGGGAAATTCTAAGATGAGCCGATAATGTAGTGATGTGTCGATACATGTTGATAAATGGCTAAATGTGTGCAGTGCAAAAAATCCCAAAAAATCTCCCATTTGGTTTAGCATCAACTTAGCCTAACTCGCACACGTCCTTAGTCTAACTCGCACACATCCTATATACTGTTGATAGGATTATTAAACGTCTAGTAACAGACTAGACTAGTAACATTTGTTGAGATGAAAAATTTATTTGTAAAAAGTCTTTTAAAATTTAAAAAACAAACTTCAAAAATGTGTGTCGTGAATTATAAATAATTGATTTATATAAATAATAAATAAAACATATAAAATATATAACTTTTTATTTTATTCATAAATTCTCATAGACTATGAAAAAATTCGAATGATCACGAATGATCGAATGATTTACATACCTGTCACTATTAATGGGCCATCGCAATACATATCATATATTGGAGTAGTTGAGCAGGTTATAGATTTATTCCTTACCTCTTTGATCCAAGAGAAATGAAAACAAAGAGGATCTGACAAATAAGTTTTAACGACCGTAATTAAAATTTAATAAATAAAGTGTAAAAGATGATTTATGTACAAACAACTCACCCTCCGCTTGCAGAACAATAAGTCCGACACACAACAGGTAACCCAGAAAAATCACTTTATACATAATTCACAATTCACTTCGATATTAACTGACGAAGGGTTTAATATAATTTTTTTGCTTTAAAGATACTTTCACATTCAAAAATTTCAAATTTTCTGCTTCACTTCTTCTTACAAACAATAACGATAACAATAACTATAAAACTCTAAATAAAATTTATATTTCATTTATTTCAAAATTTGATAACAATTTCACACGTAACTCAAAAAAAAAGCTCAAACATATTTATTAAAGAAATATTTGACAGTTTTTCTAATTTTAAAGATGTTTGCGTACTAAAGACTTTTCAAGTTCAATTCTCAATAACAGTTTCTGCATTAGCACTTCACTTCTTCCCACAATCAATTACTATAAAATCCTAAATATAAATTTGATTATGTGACAAGATTTATGGTCCCAATACTGATATAAAACATTTATCATATATGATATATATGATGTGATAAACAGAAGACAAACTGATGTTTTTAGAGGAGACGTAGAATTGCTCGATCTTCTAATAATTATCTGATTTATGTTTTGGAATATATGAATAAAAATCAATAAAAATGATATACTTCGATTGTAATTTTATTGTGGGGTAAGTTAACTTTTGACATACAGCGTAAGCAACACCTTACAGGAAAATATAGACCTCTTGGTGGAATACTTCCAGATATGGAAGATTAAAATTAGAATGTACGTGGTAATCTGCCAAAGAGTGCCATAAGTGTCCCAATATCAATTGGGTCTGTACCTTAAAGGGAACAACCATTATATATATAAAACATTTGTATCGCTCATTATATACCTTCTCAAGCCACCTCTAATAATTGCATCCACATTCAGTGAATGCACTTTATGCGGATTCTTAGATATAAGTTCACACAACTCATTCCAAAGTTGATGATTTGATTTACCAAATTTTGAAGCAAAATTTTCGTTATCTACAATCGTAGCTAACTGCTGAGCCGCATCATCTAATTTACCCACTTCAGATAAATATTCAATATATTCCTCAGCTTCATCTGGGCATAATTTTAAGTATCGCCTATAAACTCGCACCGCAGTTTCGGGTATGTCAAACTGACGTACAAACTTCAGATACAGTGGCCAGATACGATGATACTGCGTTATGGGTAGCGCACGTAAGGCGCGATCAATAACGTATCTGGTACGTGTTATTCGACATTGCAAAGTCATAAAAGTACCATAATCCATCCAAATGCGTGGCATTTTATGCATAAAAACCAATGCGCGTTCAAACGTATTATTGACTTCTTCATACATAGGGTCGTTCAATGGACGTCCACGTACATGTTTTGTAACAGCCAGGCAATTTCTTAAATACTCGTTTATACATTATATTAACACCGTTGTTGAGTGCTTTAGCTTTGTGGTCAATATGTTTCAACCAGTGCATTATGCAGGATCTTTTCCTCATACGGCACATCCTCTTTTGGCTGAAATGTAAACAGAAAATAATACACTTGTTGTGAAAAATTAAATTAACGTACTTACGATATCAACGATAGTTTCATTTTTAAAGTTGGCATCAAGCACAAAAATTAGTTAAATAATTATGGTGCCACTTCTTCTGAACAGCTGATTTATAATAGTTAGCGGCATGACAGTAGCACAGTTTGAATGAGCAGTTTAAAAAGCACTGAGCTCATAAGAACAGAACAACAGTGTTATAAATGATATATTTTGTAAAAATTGAGTTTCATGTAATTATTTACACTTGTACACCAATACGGGACTCACACAAGGGTTTTAATTATCATTTTGTAAGGATGGATATTTGTACAAATTGCTGCCCTACATAATAACATTATGAATTTTTATTAAATTATTTGGTTTATTTATTATTTTTTGTAAATAATAAATGTTTGATATATTATTTTCATTTTCAAGATCATTAGAATAAAGTTGCGCAAAATTGTTCCACGCATCTTTCATTGAAAAATCAAGGGAAGAAGTTTTGAAACGTTGCAGCTAACATGCACAACACAGGCCTCAAGAAGAGGTTGATATTTACGGCAGTGCCGTTACTTGGCATGGCAATGCAAGAATTAAAACAAAAAATGCATTAACCTTTCAACTTGCAAAAAATCACACTTTGTCAAAACATCGAATCTAGCACTAACTATAATCTTGTAATTATATAATACATAGCATTTTTTTAATTTGATAGAATACAAAGTCGTATTAGAGAAGTCTTAGAGAAGAATATTGATTAAGTTTTCATATACAATTCTATTTAATTGTTTTTGCTAAAACTTTAATCTTTAAAAATATATATATGTATGTAGTAAATTATATTTATTCTGGATATGGATATTTTTTTTACATTTCACAATTATCTAAAATTTTTAAATTCAGGAATTATAAATTTAAAAAACTTATACATCACAAGTAACAATCCATTTGTTTTTTATGCGTTCATAGAAACCACAATGTTTGGAGAAGCTGTTGTCGGGCACGTACACAAATTTTTGAAAGACACTCGAAATACAGGTAACAGAAAATATGCACTCATAATATGTATAAATTGAATAGAAAATTTCACTGTAAAAATTGTGAGCAAGTAAGTGAATATGTTTTTGTGAATCGGAAATTTTAACTTTATTGAAATTAATACATAAAATGTTTTTAGATCTGCAACTGATCACAATGCATATGTGTAACAAATATATATAAAATCTGTGTGAATGGATTGATGCAATAATTAAAAGCTGAATTTTAAGGTAACAACAATACATATATATTGTATTGTTATTATTATTAATGATATTATTCAAAAATTTTTTAAACAACGTGCTTAAATTCACAATTGTCAATATATATAACTTTTTTTTTTATTTTTCAGTCGTCACGTCAAAACTTTTTAAAGTAAATATAGTGATACTACGTAATCCTTATACTATAGAAATCCTCCTGATAAAGGCAAAACCAAATATGCCGTATAGAAAAAACTAAACGACTTAAAGTTGTGTACGAGTTCGAGTAAATTAAGGTAAAGTAAATTAAAATTTCCTACGGATTTTTTGCACTACACTTATGTAAATATTTATTTATTTATTTAATTAAAGCGCTTATTTATTATTTTTGGTTAAAAGTTTTCAAATTTATTTATTTATTTATTCAATATCTTATAAAATTTTCACAATGCTAAAACCTAACTTATATATTATTTACCCTTCTCGAAGTTCTGGTAAATACCAACATTCACTGCCATACCGACATAATTTACTATTTCCCTGAATTTACCATCAATTTTTATTTTGTCTTTATTATTATTATTTTTAATATAATAAATTATTAAAGTTTTGGTTTTAAATTATTTTTTTGTTTAATGTTAAAACAGAATATAACAAAGTGCAAAAACTTGCATTTGTAATTTTGCAATTTTTTTAAATTTTATAAACAAAACTCCGAGCTGGCAGCACTTCGTCGTTGGTTTGTCATATGTTGCAAATGAAAACAATTTTTTTGTCTCATCTACGCACACATTGCAAATCGTGAGTATTTATTTGCAATTGAAGAACGGAAAATTTTCACTTTAACCAGAATTTTGATACAAGCAGTTTCGCGCTTAACAATAAAGAGTTTAACGGTTCTACAGTAAAAAGTTCGTGATTTCTTTGAGTAAAAAATTAAAATTAAATTTTTTTTTAGTTTATCAAAATAAATTCATTTTTAAAGAAAATAAAGTGAAAATGCAATGAGACACGTTAGTGGAGTTGTGTTAAGCAGTGAGCATAAAAAGTTTTGTAATTTTTGAAGCAATAATTTAACCCTTTTGTGGAAAATGAACTCTGACTCATTTCATGTTTGCAAAAATTTAAAAAAAACCAACAAAACTCGTACGCATTAAAAGATTCAAAATAAATTTGTTGGATACAATTTGCATGATTTGCTCTCTCCGCAACGAGTAGAGGAAAAACGTTTTTATTTATTTTCTTTTGGCAACTTGTAAGTATAAGAAATGGAAAAGAAAAAAAATTTAATACATAAATGACAATAAAAGTGTTTATTCATATTCATATTCTAAATAGTTCTTATCAACGAATGCCGACGTAACAAGTTCCTTACCTTTCCCACATTTCTTCCATTACACAAGCAAAAACCATTCTAATTAGCTTAAAAATATTTTTAATTATTACATGGAAATCCCTCTGTGGCGAATCGACTCTCAGCGGTTTTATCTTTTCCTAGCCATTTCCACATTTCGCTGCCATTTGTTCTGCCTCGTTTTTCCTATTTTTGGCCATAAAAAATATTCCGCAACAACGTTTTGGCCGTGTTTCTTTTTTTCTTTTAGCATTTAGTATTTAATGTCTCTTCTGTTGTGATGTGCACAATATAATTTTATGTATTTTTGTTGAAAAATATTGATTTTTCTAGCATTTTTCCGGCTTTTCGGAAAATGTTAGTTTCTCTTCCTCAAACGTCACGTGCGAAAATCTTATTAGAATACGGCATGACGTGTTGCTGTTGTGCACCAAGCACATAAGACCAGTGAAAATGGAAAACAAACCTGCCTCAGCACCCGTAGCTCATCTCTGGGGTAGAAGTGCTTTATGTGTACTCAAATCATTTGCTTGTCGAACTCATTATTACGATAAAAACGATTATTGATTATTAGCGACCAACTATTAATTTCTTAAGTATTCAATTTCACGTATCGAATTTATTTTATTTCCATAGAAATATTGTAATTTATATATAACGAAATCTTGTCATAGAAGCATGGATGCATAATAAAATAATAAGAAATCAATTAAAAAGTTTTCTCCTAACCCTAAATCCCTGCAACTGTTAATGTTAATATCATCAATAGAGACGATATCTAGTATCGTTCTGCTATCAACTCTCAACGCCAATAGATAAAGATAAATATGATAAAGTAGTATGATATAATAGTATGATATAGTATAATAGATAAAGTATATGTTTTAGACCACACTAATATCTTAAATCATCTCATTTTCCGATTGAGACAATATATCAAAGATAAGAATACTCTCATCGTCTTTAAGCAACTATCTGTAGTCACAGAGAATAACTAGCAAATTCAGCAAATCTAACTAGGTAAATCCAGAGATACCTAGTATATGTTATGTGACTTCTGGCACCATCCTATTGAAACTACAAATTTTCCATATTCATGTCTTCAATTTCATCCAAAAAAATGCAATTAGAATTGACGAAATGTTGCAAATCTTTGTAATATTCAAAAAGTGTTGGCCTATTAAATTCCAGATCATATATATAGTTACTTCTGGAGTATGCATTAGCCTTTTGTGAGGTCCTCGTGGATTTTAAACGCTCCAGGTATCCCAGGTTTATTTGTTGACATACAGTATCTAACACGAAAAACATTAGTCTTAGATTTTTTAACAACCGCTAAACGAAGTTCATAGATACCTTAGATGAGAGTTATATTTGGAATATGTACGGATAGGTAAATTTCATTCTTTTCTTTCTGTTGCATTCTCTAGTTTTACTTTTACTATAGATATGCAATGAATTTCGCCCATTGATTCCTTAAAACCGACTAAAGCATCAATAAAGCATCGATGCCATTGTGATTCTTTTAGCATCGATACCACTATAAACTGCTGGGCATATTTCGAAATGTGGCTAGAATTAATGTCAATGAATATCAAGAGTTTATTGAAGAGTGAATTTATTGTTTTTCATTTAATTTATAGATTGAAAATTTAAAAGAATAGCAAAGTATTTGATGTATTATATATCTTTTACTGCTAATTAATTAATTATTTTTAATTTAATGATTTTTGTTATTAACAAATTTGATTTGGTTTATATGAAGTGTCATATTTTTCACCCAATTAATTTATTATTTTTGATTGATTTTAGCTTTTTACAAATTTGATTTGATTTGTCTGACTTAATCAATTTATTTAATGATGTGTAGAAATGTTTTTCTTTGCTAATTGGTTCTCAAATTAGAACCGTACTATGTTTCTTTTATAATTTCAAGTTACTAAATAGTTCTCGTTATCTTTTGTAATATAAAGGAATGCTGGAATTTATATCTTCCTAAATTGTCAAAGAACTTAAGTCAGATATTGAAAATGTTTTCATAACTAAGTAAAATCACTTTTGTGTTAATATACCAACCCTTCACTTTTAAATTTTCAATAGTTCATTTATATGAGATACTTTTTTATTTCTTATTATCTACTTACATAAATATTTTTTTTATACAAATAAAATTTCTATATACTTCTGTAATACACAAAACAACATTGTTATTGTTGCAAGTTTATTGTTTCCTATTTACTAGTACCAATCAATATTAACATTACACAGTGAATAAGAAAAAATTAATAACTGGCGAATAAGAAAGCTATTAGGCTTGAAAATTTCTATTGAAAACCTCAATGTAAACATTTTCAATGTTAAAAAAGTTTTAAGTTCTAAAAGATTTCAATATTTCATAAATTATTTAGTTTTACAAATTAAATTATATGATATATAAATATTATGCACGATTCACGATTCAGGATGTTTCGAAGCAAAAGTAAATGCATTCGCTCCTGCAAACCGACCAAAAAGGGGAAAGCTTCCGTCAAATATCGATCTAGCATTCAACAATTATTGTTTTCAACGTAATTATGACGACCGACGACCGGCGTGAAGCGACCATGACAACCGCTTCCCAAACACTTTCCTTTCCTTTCCGTGTCGTGGCTGAACTCAATCAAACTTGTCACATGAAACCAACGTTCCATACGCATAGCACAAATTGTTGCCAACTTGCATTAACCCATTAAGTACTAGGCAATTTCAGACTTCAAATTTAACGGTGAAATTTTCATAGTTAATAGTAAAATGAAACAAAGCTTAAGTAAATGAGAAAAGTTTGATATTTATTTAAAATATATAAAATATTCTTTGAATATTAAAAAATATTCAAAACTGGCCGAATTGTGGTCCGAAATGGGTTAATTAACCAATATGGAAAAACAATAGTTCACATAACAACTACAAAGTCAAAATAGTCAACTGAATCCAACTTAGCAATGCATCGTTACGTCGAGCAGCAAACCTAACAGCCAACAATTTTGCCTTCATTGCAACACTGAACACACCAACTGCGCTGCACAAGTTGCAGCCTGAAATGAGCTGTTAGCAGCAGAGCAGTTTGCAGTTTGCAAAGATGCACGTACGCATCTGCTCGGTTGCCTTCTGCTCCTATCATTCTCGCATTTTCCCTTATCAAACTCAGGGCCAATCACATACATACGAACATCCTCCCCAACCCAAATTCATGTATGCACATTGTATTGTTGTTGGATTGCAAAAGCTTCCACATTTTGCATTTCGCATTTTGCTCAACATTTTCTTCATTGATTATTTTTCATAAAACTTTTACTTTGCAACTTTCATTCCAGAATTTTCCGGTAAAGTCGGCAGAGTCTGCAAACAGTAACACGGCGTTCAACTTTAAAAATTTTGTGAAAATCAGGAAAAAGATTTTATTTTATTAGAAGTGCAATAAATAAATAAAAGAAAAAACAAGAAAACAAAGCTTCAAAATGTCTCGTTTAAGTAATTTGTTTAATAATTTTAAAATGTCAAATTTAAAGACTAAAAATTTTATGTGATATTCACCATTTGAGGCTGACGCAACGGAGAAAAATGTATAAACAGTAAAAAAAGTTCCAGATTTAATATTAGAATTATCGATAAAAGTTTCTCAGTGAAACACACAAAAAAAAGAATTATAAACTCATTAAAAAGATTTTAGGTAAAAAAATCTTTGTAAATTACGTTTTAAACTAAAACAAATACGGAAAAGTGTCCAAGTCTACACCAGCTTTCAGTTTTAAAGAAAGTCTACAAGAAAATCAGGGGTACATGCAAGCAGTATTTAAACTACTTAATTTTCATAAAATCGAGTAAATATTATTAAATATCGAATAATTATATCCTCGTGAAATATTAGTTAAAAATATAAAAAATTTGATTTGTAATTCCAACTACATTATCAATAGGTTTCATACGGTCCGGTCAAGTCATATAGGATAAGTAAAATCATCGAAAATAGTTTCAAGTAAAGAAAAAGTTATTAAAGTGAAATAAAATTCGAAATAAAAATCAATTGATTAAAAATTCATTAAATATTTGACAAATTCAGATTAGAGCTATAGACTCACCAATATTTTGTTTCGTTCCGTGATATTCGGTTAGAAATAAAAGTACTTTTAAATTCTGCATTGAATTTTCCAACACAACACTAATTTTCACAAAACTTCGTTACTGCCTAATGGCAAGTTCGTTCAATAAAACGAGACACAGGCGCAGATTGGCTGCGATCTCGTTCCTATCGAATATTTCATTAGATGGCACACATAGGGATACTAAACTTGGAGCAACAATTGGCATCTGTGGAGCAGGTGCAAGCTATAACGCAACGGCAAAGGGATTACAGGGCAACGCAACAACTGACGGCTGCAACGACGGTACTTACCACGCTCAACAGAAATATCATCATAATACCACATCATCATATCCATATCAACAGCAGCAACATTTCCAACAACGTCATTATCATCAACAGCATTTTCCCGATAATCAATATAACAAACAGCAGCAACAACAGAAATCACAACAAAATGGTAACAGCTATATTGGGAGAGTTGGGCCAACATCAGCGTCCAGTACTTTATTCACTGGGTGCGATGATGCGAATATGGACATACTTGGTGGTAGTGGAGATAGTGCAGGTAGTGTCGATGGTGATGGGCATTTTAGTGAAATTGAGAATATGGGTCAACACTTGATAAATACTCAATATGGCAACGCTAGAGGCGATGTTGGTATTAAAGCAAAAACAGCAGCAGCCGATAAATCACTTACGGCAATGTTGGCAACAGGTTCTATGGCGGAGAAGCGCAATGCTAAGCGACCGCAAGCTAATGGTCGACATCAAGGCAATCAGAATTGCAAACAAACTTCTTCTGGCCTAATGGGCAGTGGCAATAATAGTTATAATAGAAATTATCAACAACAACAGCATAATCATCAGATCGCTGGTGGTAGTGGCGGCTCGGGTGCTGAAAGTGGCAGCGATTCTGATAGCATGAAGATACCAATGAAGGTATCCAACTTTGGAACTGGTATATTGATGCCATTGCGAGAAAGGTAAGTTGAATTGCAATCATTAGGAAATCATAGAATGTTGTCTAGACAATTTTCATTCACTTGAATTACTTCATTTTTATTTTATATAATTTAATGATTATGTTGTTGAATTAAGTGATGATTTTAGATAAATAATCTTTCTTTAAAACAAATAATTCTTGAGAATTCTTACTATTATCTGGCAATACTTAGTTATCTTAGTAATCTTAGTTATCTTAGGATGATAATTGCTAATCTCACTTTTTTATTTATTTATTCTTTTATTCTTAAAGTATTTTAATAACTATATATATATAATAATCATATTACAGCAATAGAACAGATTTTTTCATGGCTGCTGTCTTTGATTTTATCGTTAAATTGAAAATGTTAACTTTTTTCGATTTAATATTCAATAGTTATTCTTACTCAGATTAAAATATATCCATGCGCTATTTTGTTGTAAACTTCTGCTTCAAATAATGTCTGTTTATAATGTGTGTTCAACTGACACTATACTCCTCATGATATTCCATTTACGTAGTTTGGTTTCGTTACTTGAACTCGACCATTGTCATACTTCCTCAATTGCTCTTCCTCTCTGCTTACGTCTCACAATTTTTTTCTGTCAACTTTCATCGAAACCATTCTACCTTCTGCATATATCTCATTATCCATTTATAGTGGTGTATATAGTTGAGAACAGGTTTGAACACATAAAAAAACTCCCATCTCCCCTAAAATAGTCCTACTATGTTAATAAGTTCTTAATAAGATTATAATCAGATATTCTTATATGTTAAGTCCAAATATCTCTTGATATTTAGGAAAACTAGATATGTTATGAATCATTAATATATGTATATTGCTTTTTTCTAAATAAGGTAAATTTTTCATTTGAAAACTGCTCAGCTTCTGTTTACATACCTAAACACTTGTTCGCAGTCCGAGAGCGACTCAAGTAGTTTTAATTGTAAAATCCGCAATTCTATTTAAAGTATCTCTAATTGAATTTTTCAGCTTCTGTTGCAATTTAATTAAGCCAATTTATTTTGACGGCAATTAAGAATTCATTTCAAAAGTGCAAGACGTTTCATGTATGTTTTCTGGTGGCAGACCTGCGAGTGAATGTTTACTACAACTACTAAATCGGATATGACTACTTGTGTGAGTCACATTTTCCAAAAGTATTTAATTTAGCAACTTATGTTTGTATCTGATATCTGGTATCTTGCGTTTGTTAAACACGTCATAAGTTGTTTCCAAAACATTTGCAAAATTACTTCACTCCTATATGACAATATTAGTTAGTTTTAGTTGCAAAGAAGAATGAATAAATCATAATTGAATTCATAAAATTTGTAGGAATTTATTTAGCTTGGTTACGTTTTTCATGCCTCAGGTTTTATTTTTACAACTAATTTCACTGTCTCTGACGCTATATCGCGTATCTATTTTAATTATTTGCAATTTTTGGTATTTTGCCAAAATATTGTGTCTTATTTCAAAAAAAGTTATGTTCAAATTGTGAAATTTGTTTCTTCGCTCAAATAATACAGTCACGTTTTGCTAGGCTGTTTTATAAAATAATCTATCCGACCTTTGTATCTGTGTTCCTTTATCAATTAAAATGTTCCCAAGACAAAAACATAATTCAGATGATGTCAAGGGTTTAGAGACCGTATGAGTAATTTATAATAGTTTTAAATCTATTATAAATCAAGAAATTTTTTACCTTAAAATCACAACAAATCCTTGCAAACATATGCCCATAGTTTATTGCTGGTCAGACATGTCAGTTCTCATAAGCAATCTATTTGGCGTTTGTATCTGTGATCCTTCATCTGTCGAAATGTTCAGTGACAATTTGTAACTTCTCATAACGGCTGATTGGTTGTAATAATTGATCAACAAATACTTCTTCTCTTCACATAATAAGCAATTTTAATACTAAATTAATACTAAATAATACTAAATAAGGTTTTAAATACTAAATTCCTCAAAAAGAACCACTGTAGATAAACTATATTTAAGAATATATATATGTATGGTTTTAAGTAGTTTAACAAATGTTTTACTTTTACTGATGAGGAACCTGACAGAGACAGAGATAATCATGAGACAGAGACACACTCTGATGTGCAGATACTATCATAGGTGTCATACATCTGCGCTCAGCTTATGGTACATCTGTAGCATTATGCAATCCAGTAACGGTAAACATAAAAAATATTTAAACATTATTTAATATTAATATGAAAATGACTATCAATGTTAAAATACTTTTACAATTAATATTGCCGTCTTTTTGTCGGTCTTATATTTGAAAACCATTGTGTTGTTAAACACATCTGTGGATGATTGAAATGATTAGAAGTTTCAAAGCCCTGCATTGTCTTAATATGTTATTGTAATATTGTTTTTTTTAAAGCATGCAATATATATATAACCTTTAAATAAATTTTACATATGGCAAGACCATTTGCAACTACCCATATCTATCTTCTTCTCTGTAAGATATTCTCTTCTTAAAAATTTGAATTAAATCAATTATAATGTTTGTCGCAGACACTCTTTTTTACGTGTTGTTATGTGTTGTGGTGTTGTGCAAAAATCATAAATAAATTGAACCAATTTATTACAATTTGTTCAATTGAGTGGCGGGCACAACTGTTAGTGAATGGTCGGTTCCCAGCTCGTAATCAATTGAAGTGTGCCAGGCACATTGCTTACGTTCGCTAAAATAATTATGAATTAAATTAAGCATATATAAAAATTTTAAAATACTCGTATTTATATTCGAGGTGGATAATATTATACAATAATTACAAGTACTACTATCATCTAGATTACCCATGATATATCATTGCGCTGACAATAATTGCAGAAACACCGTGGATAAACACGATTAGTCACCGTTTTTAATTTGACAGGCACAAGTTCTAAGCCTGTCACTTGCAGTTCAAACAAATTATACATATACGGACTATAAACTAATTAAATTCGATTATTCCCTAAGACCACTGATGATGAGTACTTGGCAATACTCAAAACAGTGTTGTATGGTCAGCAAAATTTCAATAAATTAAATAAATGTTTGTCCTTGTCCTTTCTTTGCTATTCGAGTCCGTCTAACTTTTATATAGTTTTTTTTATTTCTATTTAAATGACCAATTAGCCCGCAAATGAATTATTATAAAATTAAATTACATTAATTAATTTACAAAAAAAAACTATGGAATATTTATATATATTTGGAGGAAATAATATATGTATTATATGCTGTCTTTGATGTTATTGCTCCTAATGGTTTGGTCAAAAATATTCAATTATAATTCTAATATATCGTATATATGTGTATTGTATATAGATATGTACGTATATGAAATATGTAATAATATTAATTTATAAACATTTTAAATAAATTTAAATTGTGTGAATCCACTCGAACACTTACTCTCTTTTAAGTTAAGATACATATAAAATCATTACGTCCTCGTCACGTGACGTGACGAGACGAGACATAGTGTGCATATGTATTCATGGTTGATTCGAACCAATGTGACAAATGAGGAATGTGTGAAAAATTAATTTTTTTTATGTGAAAAATATAAATTCTGCTTTCTCAATGCAATGCAAATTTATCTTTACGCCCCTAATTTTCCTATAATTAGAATTTCTGCTTTAATAACAAAATTACATTTTCAATGTTTACAAAAGTATTAACTTCAATTACTAATTTTAAAAGAAACACATTTGAATGTAGAAATAATAAATAAAATTAAATTTACAAATATTATAAAAAAAATGCATTTAGTTTATTCAACAACGCAAAACCATAAAATTATGCAAAAATATGTGTTAATTTTTTTTTTAATTATTATTTAAAACAAAACGCACTCAGTAATTGTAAACGATTACTGAATTGTTAATAGAAGTATTGTGCATAAATGCAGTTGCAACAATAGCAACTGCAACTGCAAATACAACAAACACAGGCCAATAAAATTATTGGCAGCCGCAACTTTACTCTACTCTCTGCTTTGGGTCTTTAAACCTCCTTGAACTCAGTGCAATAGAAAAACTGAAACGAATGCGGCCTTAAAAGCTTTAAAGCTTTTGTGCGTAACCTTAAAGCTCAACGTTACGAGAGAGACAGCGGAATAAATGCAATTGCGGCCACAGCCACAGTGGGGTGGCGCCGGCTACTGGCTACTATAAGCGCACATGCAATGTGCAATGTGCAATGCAATGCAATGCGCTCTCCCACAAGTGGAGAAAAAACTTTTTATAATCAAAGCTACTGCGAACGCGTTGTGTTGAACTTCATTGACTTTAGTTTTTTAATTTCTATTCTATTTTTATTGTTTCTTCCAACTGCTTCGCGTTATTTGCTATACACACATTTACACGCTGCAACTATTGCTGCGGATATTCATACACACTTTATGTTTGACAAACTGACCTTGTTTTTCTCTATACGACTTTCGCGTAAGTTCTGTCTTTTTATATTAATTTTGTTGTTTATTTTATTTTTGATTTTCTCAATACAATGAATTTTTTTCTCCCAAAAACTGTTTACCCGTCTTTTGCATAGTCAAAAAAGTGTTTGTTGTTGTTGTTGTTGTTGGCGGTGCAGCAATTATTGCAAACAATGCACTCGTAGAGTCAACAGTCTTTGTCATGCATTTTTGAGTCTTTAAAAAACTTTTTGTATGGAATTTAAATCTTATACACATACATACACATGTATATGTATAATTATTGTAAATAACATACAGTAATCCCCCCTATAACGCGTTTTCGTATTACGCGATTTCAATCCCCCGTATAACACGAGCATTCCCCCATATAACCCGGGGATTTATACAGTTCATAAATAGCTTAGCGTACCTTTGCACATGTGTATAGGGGGTTATACGGGAATACCTCTATAACGCGGAACCAATCTACAGCGTTATATGGAGGATTACTGTACTTGCTATGATTTCCCTGCGGAGAGGGGAAAAGAATACTCCCGC